CTCTTTTATAATTTCTATTGGGTTGATGCAAAATTAACGACCGTTTTTGTTAGCAATCATTTTATTCTCGCTTTCTCTTCTTTTCTTTTTGCTATTTGAAAGAATGTTTGTTATGTAGTTACTAAGAAGCGGCACTAAATCACAAACATTCTTTCAAATAGCAAAAAGAAAAGAAGAGAAAGCGAGAATATGATCGCTAACAAAAACGGTCGTTAATTTTGCATCAACCCAATACTTATATAGTTGTGGATTTGGATGTGGGTGCAATGAAAATAAACACCCACATCCCATTGAATGTGAAGTGTTGATACTGACACAGATCAGTTGAGCGTGAGTGTGCATCAAGAGAAGCAAGATATCCACATAATCACTAGTGCCCTGCGATTCCAAAAAAATTGGAACCGAGAACCGAACTGAGGACCGGATTTTTTCGTTTCTCTTACCCGGAACCGTGAAAAAAAAGCGGGTAGAACCGGAGTGGGAACCGGGAACCGTTAACTTACTCACTTGCTATTTTATATTTTACAGTAAAATCATCGGTTTCTTTTTCGGTTCCTAAAATTTTTTCGGAACCGCCTTTTTTCGATTTCAGGAACCGGAACCGACGATTCCTGTTCGGTTCCCAGGTAATGTTAGAAACCGCAGGGCACTAATAATCACACGCACACATTGAAGAAAATTTTATTCTTATCTTTCAAGATTGCAATTGTTCAGTTTTATTGTTTTTTCTTGAAACCTGTCCACAGTTCCTTAGTCGTAAAGGCAAACCATTGAGAATCGTTTTAATTTGATAAAAGAAAATGTGTTGAGTTTTTTTTTAAAAAGATATTTTGAAAAGTATTCGGTTGTCCTTCGTCGTGTGCTGATTTTGTTGTTTGTAACATTAACCACTGAAAGAGAAATCCAAATAGGTTAAAAAAATAATCATAAAACATGGATTTGAAGTTTAGTTTGAATAGATAAAAGAAAGATCGAACATTTCATGATTAATTTGAAATCTACTTCAATACTATTAGTCTAGAAAATAATGATTTTCAAAAGAAAAAATTTGTTTCGTTTCATTCCATTCAAAGTAATAATATTTGAATCACGATCACACATATTAATTCATTATTATCGTCTGAAATTGATTATGACAAATTTTGATAAATTAAGGTGCAATAGAATTTCCGTGAATCAGATCAATAAAAAAATATTGATTTCAAAGGGTTCTCAAATGTCTTTTTCCTAGAAAAATATGAAATCGAGAAAAACTTGAGTTCACATATGCTAATTCAACTAGCGTTCATATGCTGAATGTTGCCAACGAATAGTTTATCGATTCACTTATCAACTCGTATTCGTAACTAATACATGAAAAAAACATTATTAAGTTTAGATCTGAGATTGATGATGAAATCTATTAGAGTAATTGATAACACGTCTGTTTTTTTCAACGTTTCATCGTCATTGATATTGTTACTGGTAATAAAAGAAAAAAACAAATGTAACACAAGTGATTCAGATTCATTCAATGTCAAACTAAAAAATGGAAGTAAACGCATGTTGATCGAACTGACTCACTGTTTACTGGCATATTACTTCACTCAGGAAAAAACAGAAACTCAAAAATATTATTGTTCTGTAAGCAAGGATATTCTTCAAGTACCTGATAACTGCAGGCAATATATCCAATCGTCTCAAAATTGCTGCAGTGCGATATCTTAACGAGGGTACTTCTTAACGTACTTTATGACTTTCTATATTCTTTCTTTTAAGAAGAAATAAAATCGCGGACATTTGACTCATGTCACTTCTTTTTATTTCATTCCTTATCTGTTCTATTTGATTCTCGTCGAAACTACCAGATGATAAAATGTAATGATTGACATTTTTTTTCTTACGAAATCGTTTTTCTGTGAAAACAGACAATACTAGTATGTCTGTTGGACATGGTAGTTTGTACTTCCTTGAAACGCACTTATGGTTGGTTCATACAGTTGACGAAATATTCATTCATTCATTAAAAAAAAATGAACATCTTCTAACAGCTAAATATGATGATAGCTTTCAGTAAAGACTGGTTCTAGTGAAAAAAACATTGTAGTAAGCAAGAATCGTCTTCCTGTATTTACCACTTAATGATAATTTTGTTTTTAAATTAGCAAAATTGTGAATAAGAATTTCATTAGATTTCATCATAGTCGAAGAAAACGAGGCCTTTTGACAGATCTTTGCAATAATGACGTCCTCTGCTAACGGTTGACACAGTGACAAGTGTATTTGTATCTTTTTGTAGATAGGCCTCTCTTTCATAGAGAAAGTGAGTTTCGATGAAAAAAGTGGGTCTTTTTTCTACCCTTCCTATCGTTTCAGTGATTTAAACAAAACGTCACAAACGTCATGTTATCGTATGGTTCTATTTATACATTATGCTGATAAATATTTTTCATATTGTTATTATATAAAGTGAATTTTAAACTCATTTTTCTCATTGTTTATCACATCAAGTTAAAGTATTTTATTCAAAAATAGAAACTTAAAGTCATGGTCACATTGGAAGAAAATCAGTATGTGCGTGAGGGTCGCATTCATGCTCGGCTCGACATTGCTCACACTTATAATGACAAACACATGATTGAGCTTGCTGGTCATGAATTTATTGTGTATCCAAATGTTTTCAGTCCTGCAGTATTTCTTCTATCAGATAATGTCGTTGAAACATGGCTGCATCTCATCAAAATAATAAAACCTGAATCAATACTGGAAATTGGTTCTGGAGCTGGTTATCTGGCCATTCTTGCTGCTCTTCATGGTGCTAACCGTGTCACAGCTACTGACATTACTGAAGAAGCAGTGAACAATATTCAAGCTAATAGCGAAAAACATAATTTAGAACATCGCATACGAGCTGTTTGTGGTAGTGTTTTTGAACCATTCGATAAAAATGATCAATTTGATGTTATTTTTTGGGATATACCATTCTGTCATATTAATAAGCCAACGGAAGAACTCAATGCACTCGAACGTACAGTTTTTGATCCAGGCTATATGCTTTGTGAGGCATATTTGAAAGGAGCTCGAGAACATTTAACAGATACTGGTCGTGCTTTTATGGCTTTCTCACAAAAGTTAGGTCATCCAGCAAAATTATTAGAGTTAACTAACAAATATGGCTGGTGTTTGCAGCTCGTACCAAATCCTAAGCAAACGACATCGAATTCCGATGCTATATACGATAATAATGTCGATATCAACATGTACGAGTTAATCAAATTATGATCGATATCAAAAAAATAAACTATAGATTTTGTGCATCTTTTTTTTTTTTTACAATGGCTACAGATGGATCTAATTGAGTCGAATACTTTTGTCAATTGATCTACAAGCTATTTTTTCTTATTTGAAACATGAAGCTTTGATCTGTATAAAAATATTATTTGAGTGACTGAGTGTGGGTGTGGGTGTGGGTGTAGGTGTGGGTGTGGGTGTAGGTGTGGGTGTGGGTGTAGGTGTGGGTGTGGGTGTAGGTGTGGGTGTGGGTGTAGGTGTGGTTGTGGGTATTTATTTGCATTGCCCCCATACCCACAGCCATATCCACGATCCACTGCCGCACCCGTGCTCATCATCCACACCTACAGCCGAGTTCAATCGAACACACAAAGTTTCAACAACTATTGCATAGTGTACAAGAGAATCGTTTGTTTTATAGATAAATTTCCGCAGAAACAATTCCTACATTGAAAGTTTATAACTATTTGGTTCAGACCAGTTAAAAAGCCACTTCGTATAAAGGATGTCGATGTTTTATATCATTATCGTTTTCATATAATCCAAGTATTAAAATTCATCGAGATGCTAAAATTTCACTTTTAGAAGTGGCTGCTCTCTCGCGACAAATGTCTATTAGGGATGTGGGAGTGAGTATTCATTTCGAATGTTCCGATACTCACCCATATTTCACATCAATATTCACAAACCCTCATGCCACAGCGATATTCCCTAATAGACTTCATGAAAACAATTAATAACATAGATTTATCACTATCTAAAGTTTGTGATCTACACAAGAAATTCATAGAAAGAATGGAATGAAGATCTATTTATCCATCAAAACTCGGATCATTAACTAGCATCATGCGAATTCGATATATTCGGCGAGGTTCATGATAAATAGTTTGATTCGCTACGATAGACGATTACACATCAGAAGCGATCGATACTCCAGTATTTGGATTTACACTGATCCAAGGAAAATGCTGCTCATAATTGCTAATCTAATACGATGGTGTGGAAGAAATGTAATTCCGATAGCATGCAAATCAATGCGAATGAGATAAGTTTCGTTGGACAACATCAATATCTCTTTACCAAAGCCATCACGATAGCGTGTACGAAGTTGACCTGCAGTTTTAGAACCAAGTTTGATCGAGCGTCCATCAGTCATCATATTCATTAATTCAATCACAAAATCGGTATCACGTGCCGTACTCGAGATTATCAGTTCAATGACAATATCACCAACCACTGTAATTGGCTTATTCAATGGTTCGGTAGTGTACACAAGAATATCATTACGATGAAGATACGAATTGATATCTACGGGCAGTTCAATAGATTTGTTATTCATCTTACTTATTACTGGCTCGGTTGGATCATAAACATAGGAATCTATTGCAATCATACTTGATGCGTTCCATTGTAGTAGACCATCTCGTTCTATGCTATTAGCATGCCCATCACTTGTTAGGAACAATGATCGCTCGTGAGCTTCTGGTGGTGGAAAAATATTGCGTGTCATCCATCAATCACTTCCAGTTACATATATTCTAGATGGTTTCCATTCTGGTCCTCGACCATCTTTTAAACACCATTCAAAGAATTCATGTGTCATATTCAAACGTGATAACAATGTATTTTTGGCAACAGAAAGATCTCCAACTGTTGTCATCGGCTTTCCCGTTTGATAATCGTAGCCACCATCAGGTGCATTTCTATATATGTAAGAACCAATGATAAGAAATTGATCAGCACTCCGTGGCGCGTAACAACGCGCTCCTTGAAAGTTCCAGATTGTTCCATACATAGTACTATCGAACCAACCGGTGAAAGCAAGCGACTGGATAGTGATACGTACAAAGTCGTTCGGGAGGAAATCGATACTGCGCCAGAAATTATCATATGTTGGATGATTAAGAAATGCACGATAAAGTAATAAATTTTTTCCTGTTGCTTAGAGATCCAATGTTCGAAGCGGCTGGTGATTTAGCCACATCATAGGATCAGGGTGCGACTGGTTTATCTGAGATATGTTAATATTCAAATCATGATTAATCTAGTTGATTGCCAAACCGACTCCAAATGCACCGTCACGATATGAAATGTCCTGCATCAAACGGCCAAGCGTAGCACTCGGCGTAATATATGAGAGATGCGACGGTTGCTCTCGCGCAATAAACCACTGATTAGTTCCAGTATAGGATGAACCACGCATTCCGATACGACCGTTGGACCATGGCTGGTTTCATATCCATTCGATCAGATCATAGCCGTCTTGACCTTCACGACTGAAAAATATCATTTCACCAGTCGAATCACCTGTACCTCAACAATCAGCTATAACAAATATATAGTCATGCTTACGCCAATATGAGGCCTCGTACCGATAATTCATCCGATCAGATCCTCGTCCATAAGATGTTAATTCGAGAATCACTGGGAAACGTCCGGTCTTTGATGCAACGAGATAATCAACTGCCAGCTGGACTCCAACGCGCAATCAAATATGTGTTGTTTTGAAGATCAAGAGATCATTTTCGTCAGTTGTCAGAGGTGAGTTTGATGTGCCTGTAAATTTCAATCGAATAAAAATTTTCCATCTAAAGAAAGTTATATTCTACCTGAATGCGTTGAGTTAAAACAATCGTTAGTTAGCGCATTATCAGCTTCATGATTAGTCATTGACAATTGGCTTGTTGAGTCAAAAAGCACAGAAATCCAACAATAAAAATTAAGAATATGTGTGCCATTTATTGATCTAAGAGAAAACAATGCCATTCAGTCTCGATCAATACAAACGACAAATAGTAGTTGATATAAATAGATATATTCTGCCATTTTGACTGTTTCTATTTTAGTGTTCTCAAAAGATGATAAGCTATGTTTTTCTCAAATTCTTGTAAGAGAATAAGTGTAACTGCTTCACTAAGTAAGCCATAAAAGTAACTATAATTTCCATAATGTTGTACAACAGCAAGAATTAACCCTGCAGTTACGAGCTCGATACATTGATTGACTTGTAAGTATTTCTTTTTTGTCATTCTTTATATTTCTGACTCATTTTTCATATCTGATTGATAGAAGAATAATGCAAATAATCAATAAGCTTTACTTCGACATATCGTATTTTCTCTCTTTGAGTGTATTAGATATCGGTTAACGAAAGAATTAATCCCATAAAACCATATTTAGTACATACACTGAACTGTTGGTAAGTTTTTTTTTTTTATTAATCTCATAAAGAGACTTACTTGATTTTTTGTACATGTATATTTACGCTGAGAAAACACAGATCATAATGTGTGCTGAAATGAATTTATTTTATTGCTCTGTTCGATATGAGTGTTTCTTTCGAAAATTCAACTAAACAAAACACAATGCCATGCGTTAGACTACCTTGTCTATGCTAGTCTGTTGACACCAACTTAAGTATTAGCATTATAATTAGGACCAGTTGTTGCTGATGTTGTATTAAGTTGTTTATTAAAACTTTTAACAAAAAAAAAATATGGAACGCTTCACGATTTTGCGTGTCATCCTTGCGCAGGGGCCATGCTAATCTTCTCTGTATCGTTCCAATTTTATTATATGTCCCACCGAAGTGGGACATCTATCAATCTGTCTCATCGTTATATATATTGAATCAAGACGAATAGAAAGAAAATGGTGAATGAGTAAATTCAGAAATTTCGAGCAACACGAATGACTGACATCTATCAAAAACAGTCTTACTCAATTAGTTCTGTTTTGTGTTAGGATTGTGACGTATGTGATATATCTTTTAATTTGCGTTGTTCTTCTATTTGTATCCACATAATAGAAAATTTAAGTAGATCTTAAAAACATAAGCTTCGATAGTCTAATGGTGAAGACACACACGACTGAAGATGATGTCATCCAAGTTCGATTCTTGGCTGAGGCATGTAAACATTTTGGTCATTTTTTTTGTCATAGTACAAAGTTTTTACGTAATAACAGTTGCATGAGAGTATGCTTTTGATTGTAGTTAACTTCGTTATGGTACATGCGACGTTTAAAATCTCAAGAATCAGATCCCATGAGGTACTCTAGCAGTGGTATACAATGGTTTCATTTTATCCACGTATAAAACATTTATATAAACAGAAGTACTCAAATCGTAAATATCTACCATATGAAATATTAAAATATTTTATTCCCGCTGATTTATAAAAAGTTCAGGATTAATTCCTTCTACTTTTTGGCAAAGTAAGTTTTCGGTTGATATAATAATATTAGATTAAATTCGTTAAAGTGAAAACTCATATGGAAGCTTCTTTCATTCTTGGCGATATCTAACTTTATCGAAAGAGATGGCAGGTCTTTCTGAGAAAAAACATATTACTCTTGTTTTAAACTTGACAATCACATAGGAATCTATGTTCTAGCATAAATCGTATCACGATATTATTGTTAACAGATAAATGAAACGTTCAAATTATCAATATATGAATTTGTTTCTGCTAAGTATCGACTGTTATATCGTATTAGATTTAAAAACTGACAAGAAAATTATAAACGTTAATATCTCATAGAAAGGAGAATTCAGCAATTGAAATCTTGTACCAATATCGTGTCAGAATAAAAACAGGACGAATTAAAGTCTCATCTTAGATAGCTTTTAAATAATTTATTCTTTCAAAACACAGTAATATTCAACATTTATAAATGGTCGAACAATGATGGGAACTCGGTAAAAACATGAAAGCTATTCAAATTCAAATATGAATTAATTCAGTGCCACATCAATATTGATTTGTTACAAATTCTAATGTTAACAACATATTTTGTCTAGATATAGTAGTGATAAGCAAGCAAATGTCGAAAGTGTCCTATTAGCTAAATTGGTGAGCGATGAGCACGAGAGTGAGATCTGATGGTGAAGATGAAAAAAAAATTCGCACCCATGTCCACTTTTGTTGCTCATGATTCTAGTTCTCATATTCACTATTTTATTTAATCAGTATGCTATGAAATAATACTAAATGTTGTTGTTTTTTTTTTACGATGTCAACACAAAACGAAGGCATAAAGGTTTTTTCCAACTTCAAAAGAAAAGAACTAAAAGTAAATAGTGATTATTCGACACACACCATACTTTTAATTCTTTCTTGTTTTGATGATAAATATTCAGAAAAAGTAATACAATGAGCCACATTGAGAAAACAGAAATAAAGCAACCAACATATATGGTAAGTCTAAAAAAACACATTATTTTGAGAATCATGTCACAGAATGTCGGTGAAAGATCGCAACATCAAAGAACATAATTTTGACTTCGATTTTTTTTAGATATAGACTGTTTGAATACACTCTGTTCGTTAGAAAAAAATTTTCTGACTGCTAATCTCTCTACTAAACAAAGCTGTAGACACGTCATTAATTTGAATACTAAAAACAGTAAGTGAAGACAGGAGACCTTGAAACAATCAATTATATCATATGAAATATGGTACAAGAAAGGATTCGTATTCATTGTGCTTTGTTCTAAACAACACAACATTTCTATTGGTCAGAATAATACTATTCGAAAGAGAAGAATGTGACATTCTACTGTCTTTATCGTGTAGTTTTCTTATTCTGTCTGATGTTATTATTGATAATATGTTTTTATTTCATTAAAAAAGGAAACATATTAACAAGGATATTAATAAACTTTATTCTTAAATCAGGAACATAAGATACGTTAGACATTTTACATGAGCTCTGCTATTCTTAAGCCTGAAAAACTTCCCAGTTTATTTATCATTTAGCCTTCATAATTAATGAAGATTGAGAATGTTCCTAATAGAGGGTCTCACAATCTTGAAAACGTATTTTCTAATATTTGTAAGGTTTGCATAAAGCAAGTAGTTTTTTTCGTAGTTTTGTAATACAATCTTTCGACAAAAGTATAGAGATGAAAAAAAGAAACAAATGAAACAAAATGAATTATTTCGGTGTATTGTTACCTTTGATGAAATTTTCTTTCTTACTAAAATCATTTCATTTTGTTCTCAGAGTCTTTTATGGCTGATTTTAAGACTCATAAATTAGCTTTGCCATTGAAACTGATAGACCACTAAATGTTCTATACAATAGTTCGCTTTAAAAATGCTAGAACAAACATTTCAAAGTAGCACGAGAGTTTTTTCTAACTCCATGATAGAGATGGTTTGTTGTCAGTGTAAATTCAAATGTTGTTGTTGTTGTTGTTGTTCAATATTATACACTTCTGCGAAAAATCATTTGAATCGTTTAGAATTCTCATGTTCTATCAGACTCAATGGCAAAGCTAATTTACGAGAGTGTCAAAATCAGACATAAAAGACTAAGAACAAAATGCAATGATTTTATTACAAAAGAAAAATTCATCAAAGCATCAGGAAGATCTGAAGGAAGAGATATGAGTATTGTAACATTTGCCAAGCTTGAAGAATTTTCGTTTCTTCCCAGCTGCACAGAAAATTTTTTGCATGATGTTGGAAGAAAGATATTCTCCTTTTGTAAATAAAAGTGCAACACTCTCACTCCCTCAATATTGGTTGCTGAGGATCATTACTGAATGAAAGCCAATGAAAAACAACTTTTTACTACAACAAAATAATTCTTTCATTATAATGTATGGTGCTCTTTTCAACTCTCCACTATCATGTAAAGTTTGTGCTACAAAAATTTCAGGCTTTACGTTTTCAAGATAAATGAAGATGAGAATGTTTTTTTTTTGTCGAAGTTAATCAGTACCTTTTGACTGGTACACTCTTTTGTTGAGAATAACATTGTCCTTAACAATAGAAATATTTCTTGCTGTTTTGAACAAAGTACGATGAGTATGAACTTCTACGATCATAAGAAATTCTGCTAAATTTCAATCATTTTGAAAAAGAAAACAACGTGTTTTTTTTCTTTATAAACATGTATGCCATCAATCTTGGCTGTTCGAAAACTTTTAAATCTTTTATAAAACAATCTTTTGTATTTTACTCACTGTATTCTAAATAATTCATTTTCTGAGAAATTACCTAGATTTTTTTTTTGGAAGAACATGTGCTCTGAGAAGAGCGAGTTATTATGTTTACAACGAGAAATTTTTTCATCATATGTGTTATATTAATGGAGTAGAAAAAAATAGTAAATTATTTCTTCTCTCTTGTCAAATAAACTTTATTCTTCATACAAGCATCAACAAAAGAAAGGTTTTCATTGTGTACAAAGTCGTCTATTGGTTTTTGTTGTAGTCGCATTGGTCATAATGCAGTAACAAATCTTCGACAAGAAAAAACATTTCTTTCATCTTTCATTTTAATTTCATTTTCTCGACTACTCCACAACTACCGTACATTTTTAAAATGATTCTTCTATTAACAGACTTTACTTTTCTTTTGTTTAAAAAAATATTTCGTTTACAAATACAAAGTTTCTAAATGAAAATAGATTTCGTAATATTTCTGACAAGGATCTATTAAAATTCCGATTGAATAGTTGGACAACTTTAGCCATCGCATCATTATATATAAAATTCTAATAAAACAATAACTACTAAACTCAATTAGATAAATGAATCTATTTGCTAGACACTAGGTCAATATAGTATCAAAGTGGACTCAAATTTGTACATACTTTATCTGCACTCATCACTAAGATCACTGATTTCAGTCTTGATTAAATTTTATTTGTGATGCGTATTGATTTCCATGAATGCAGTAAAGAGCAAGTAACTTGTTTTCTAAATTTTTTATGAGAATAATTTCTCTTGTTGCTTCTTCTGTAAAAAATATTCTAATGAAGAAGCATCCTACTTCATCGAGAAGAAATCTTTATCTCGAATAAAAATTGAACAAAATATCAGTACTAAACATAGAATAATCACGCATCATACTATTATATTAAGTATTTCAGCTCTTGTTCGTGGTTTTCTGTTGTTTACTTCTAGGGAAAAGCTATAGTAGGAAAATTGAAATGAAATCCATTACATCAATATTAACAACAATTGATAATATTATTCAACGAGCAAATGAGGTAAAAGTGTATCAAGATCATTTGAAACTACTAATAACTAGTTTAATTCGTCTTCGACATGGATTTAATGATAAACTTGCAATATCAGAAGAAAGTCGTTCAAAAAACGATCTTGCAGAAATACTAAAAGCTATTGATGAAGTTGTTACAAGTTGTAGTGAAAATGAAAATTACCTTAATGGAGTGACTAACAAAGATCTCGAATCTGTACTGTTTCGTCTTCAATATCGATTAGCTCAATATGAAGCTAATCTAACAGATGATTATGAAATGAGAGTCAAAATACTATGTAATACTTGTCAAGAACAACAAATATTTGTTCAGAAATCCTCTGAGGAAACAATGAGACGAAGATTAGACACAATAGAACAACAAACAAAGAAAAATATCATAGAAAAACTCCGTCTCTTACGTGAAAAATATTCTAAAATGATTGAATCTTATCTTCGCACTTGTATTGAACAACATCGAGATGAAACTCTTCCTGGTCTCACTGGTGATATTGTTGCCAAAGTTGCCCATATTTTCTATCGAATCTCTAACGAAGAAAGAATTTTATTAGAGAATAAATGGCGAACATCTGAACTTCCTATCACACGTACATTCATTCATTTGAAAGCTGATAAATCTACATCATTCGAAAGAAATGAATTACGACAAATGTTTATGGAAGATGAAGGCAATATGAAACAAGGTACACGACATAGACAAGAAACATCGAAAGGAACATGGGAACGATTAGTTTCAGATGCCTACATAATGTCGATAGTTGAAAGAAATCACTATTTCGAAAACGAGAATATCACTGAAGAGAGCATTATTCGAACTAAACGTTGGATTGTTATTTTGGGTGATCCAGGAAGTGGAAAAACAAGTTTTGTTCGATGGCTTATTCATCATCTTGCTCAAACACTTCTTCTCAATGAAAAGCAGTCAACTAATTATGGACCTCTTCGTATACCAATTTTAATTCGTATAGAAGAGTTTGCTGAAATATTAAAAGAACAACCATTACTCACTTTGTTTGATTATATTGGAAAACATAAATGGATGGGAAAGTCAATTGTTAATGATTCAACGATCTCGCCTGATAATATATCACGTGTTCTTCAAGATTATATTAAACAAGGCCAAGCTCTAATCATACTTGATGGTCTCGATGAGATTCCTGTTTCAAATCAACGTTCAAAAATCATTAATATTGTTGAAAGCTTTGTCAATACTTATGTTCAGACACCTATAGATATTACTACCTTTGACAATGTATATTTAAGTAAATTATTCGATGATCCATCTCGATCTGGAGGTAACCAATTGATCGTTACAAGTCGTATAGTCAATTATCATAGTGCTCCATTAACTGGACAATTTACTCGTTGCACAATTCAACCTACGCATAAGAAATATATAACAGATTTTGTTGATTATTGGTTTTTTCATGTACATCAATGTATCATTGACATGTTACGTCTTCCATTAGTTAATCAAGCAGAAAAACATAGTAAAGCACTGAAAAAAGAATTAAGAAAACCTAAAAATATTAGTCTTCTTGAAATGGCTTCGAATCCTGGTATATTGTCATCTATTTGTACCGTATATTTCCATCAATTAGATGGTCCACCAATACCTCCTCAACGTTTTCTTCAGTATCAATCAATTGTTAAAGTAATACTAAATTTATGGCATAGTAGAATGCCGACTATTGACACATCAAAAGTGATTCGAATTTTGACTGATATTACTTCCTGTATGCATCAAAATCCTGCATCGAATTTTATTACGAATGATGAAATAAAAGAAATCTGTGTTCAAACGATCAAAACTTCCATAAATATGACATCAATAACAAGAGACGATATTCATCATTTCGAAGAACAAGCATTTGAAATGACACGAGTCATTCGTGATAATGTTGGTATGTTAACATCGCAAGGTGAATCACTTTATGGTTTTCTTTATCTAGCATTTCAAGAATATTTCACTTGCTTGAAACTACTCGAAGGAGGTACGTCAGAAAAACAGATTCTTGTTACTGATGGATTAAATCGAGACAAAAAAATTCAACTTATCACTCAATCGTTATGTCGTCACACGAATGATCTACGATTTCGAGTGCCAATTGCACTTGCTCTCGAAAAAATTAGTTCGTCTTGGCCCCGAAATGATTTTGACGATCTCTGCTATGAATTTATACAAGCTCCAGATGAATATGATTCTCTATTACCACTTGGTGCTTATATCTTAATTAATTGTGTTGATGACTTTGTTAATTATCCTTCGAATAAAGTTTTGTTTGATGCTTTGGATCGTTTAATAATCGCAGCTGGTCAACATAAATGGTCAATTGTTTGTCCGTTTCTATTCGATCAAATTACAAATGCATTGAGAAAATTTCGAAATGATGTTGTTTCATTATGGATTAATAAATTGTTGTGTGAGTCTTCTCGGCATGATATTCAGACAATAACAGCTCTTTGTCATTTTCTTGAAGGAAAACCTCATGAATTTGAAAATATTAAATGGTTACGTCAATCATCTTGCTCGATGCTTCAATCGTTATCAACACTTGATAATGAAAATAATGGATTTGCTATTGATCGATTATTATTTAAAATTGCTTTCTCAAATCATCAGTTATTACCTTCGAATCCAAGTACTTTCAAAGAGTTCCTAATTGATAAAAACATTGAAATAAATTCAATGCCTGTGATTCTTTTCCCATTAATAATTGCTCTATATGGCGGGTTAGCACGAAATGGTCAAACTGTTATCTTTAATCCTTCATGTATTCATCGAGAATCAACTGTATTAACACCGATGTTAATACGTTTTCTTTTCGAAAATGATCGTAATAAACAAGATCAAAATTTAAAAAAATTAAAACAAGAATGTATAAAATCTTTTGCGATACGAATGGAAAATCATGATGAATCATCAGAAGCAGTTGATTTATGTATTGCAACTATCTGTCTGTATAACATTGAATATTTACAAGATACTTTAGATATTATCTCCAATTCTTTTTTACGCATCTGTATGAATCGATTAAAATATATTTCAATGATATTACGTCAATTCTATTTTGTTGCTGACGAAAAAGATCTATCTATGGAAAATGAAACAACCAAATTTATTTCAACTAGTATCGAAAAATTTCAATATTTTGAATCAGCAAGAATTCATTTTCTAGATTTGTTAAATTCATTAAGAAGTAGTGTTGCATGTATACGATCTTCTTCAACATCAATTTTGTTGGAAGGAGTATCAAGATCTTATCGACGAGTGACATTACGTTTGCCTAATTCTCTGCGAAAAGAAAATCAATTTCTTAATGGTCTATTAACAACAGATGTACGATTTTCTTCTGATAAAAAATCTTGCTCATTAATACATCATTTCACTAAACTTTTTTGGCCATTAGAACAAAATGATAAATTTGATACACAATACAGAGTAGCAGTTGCTATGAATAATGTACCAGAATATTTATTATTTCGTAACGATGAAGATATTTTAATTTCATTAACATTTGTTCCTTCACATTTACAAAATCTTTATATTCGATTATTGAAAGAAGAATTTATTACGATCAATCCAAAAGATTCGATAGCTAAAACAAGACAACATCTTTATTTTGGTCACATTCTAACTGAATGTTTAATGTTTTTATCAAATGCATTATGTAAAAGACTGTCGATTCGAACTGCTTTAATTGCCCTATTGCCTTGGCTTCGAATGCAGCAATTAGAAAACTTTGGCAGTAGTCTTTTATGGACGTTAACTTCAAAAGATCCTGATGCTTTGGACAATTTTGAGAAACAAAGAAAACGTTCAATGAATCTTGAAACTGGCCGATATATGGATACAGATAAGAAGTTTTTTAAAGGATCTTATCTAACAGATGAAAAACGAAAAACAATAATCCGAAATAATATTCAACAAGAATATGAAAGACTTCAAAATGCTTCAATTGATAATGATGAAAGAAATGTAAAACTTTATTCTTCATCAATCTCTTTAGCACGTTTGTGTCGTTGGACTGAAGATGAAAGAAAGTTATTTTTATTAGAACAAAGTATAAACGGAGCTATGTCAATTCAGAATAAACTGGCTCGTCTTGATGCACTATGTGTAATTGCTTTTTATTCACATTCCGTCTATGATCACATTAAAGTCGATCGAGATAGATCTCTAACAATGGAAATTGAACATCAATTCAATGAAATTTATCCTAATTTACCTCTTCTATTACAAACAGCTATTTTCATTAGATGTTTACCTTTACTTCAACATTCACAAACAATCGATAATTGTCTTCAAAATCTCATTAATAAATTTGCCAATACAGATCTACGAGATCAACAAGCAGTCATTGAAGCCTTATTACCATACATGCAATTGAATTGTGTATTTTCATCTATTACGAATTGTTTCTCTTATAGTCTACAAGATCAAAATAAAACAATACATAATAAATCTTCTGCTTTGAAGACATATTTTAATATTGGTACGCGTGAAAATTTATCATTTTCATTATCCATTTCTAATTTGTATCTTGTGGAATTAGCCAACGATTTATATGAATGTATTAAAATGGATAAACGTCTATTTAGCATCGATGAATCCATTGAAACAAAACTATTTCAATTCGAAAATAGTATTTTGACAGAAGCACAAGCATTAACAATAACTAATATACTTTCTTTCGTTTCGTTGACAAATCGATATAATCAGCATGAAAATATTTGGATTATCTTAAACAATGCTCTTCATCGTATGAATTGGATAGAATTAAAAGCATGTCGTTTGCTAGAATCTTGGTTGAAATGGAAAGATTCAAATGAATTCTCTTGTTTTGCCTATCATGCTGCACTTCTTCTCATTAATTCTGATATATGGTCTGTCGAAGCTACAGCAATTGTATGTGATCTTCTATCTAGTGACAATGATCGTTTTCGTCAGAGAGCTGAAATAATACTCCGAACACCAAATAAGCATAATGTTCGAACTAGTTCAATATTGGGCATTGATGTTTTATTCACTTTACTTAAGAAAAAAGTTCATTATCATTTAACTTCATCATCTGCCAAACTCACATTAAATCGATTGTTCGAAAATATAACTTTAGATGTTCAATCTCATCTAGAAATATTACTTTGGCTAGAAAGATACAGAATTCATGCATTGACTAACAAGGAATATTCTTTCAACGAGTTAAGATCATCAAGAAATTCTCATGTAACTTCATTTTTTTCAACTGATATAGCAATAGATGCATGTGCCTATGCTAATTCGTTTCGACTTTCAAGTGATTTGATAGCATATATGTGTGATATGATTGCATCGAATTTATTTTCATTCTGGGCGATTGATGAAGATACAACAACAAATACAGTTTCGGAAAGTCATACTCGATTTGTGGTGTCAGTACTTTTGACTTTAAACAACTTACTGAATCATAATAATGAAACACGACAAATAACAATTATTGCTCTTATGAATTTATTCGAGATGTTGGACAAAAATGAAATTCGTCAAGCAGTAGCGTATGCTCTTGGCTATGTGTGTAATGAACAAACATATAAAAGTTTATTTGAAAAAATTATATTGGTAATGAACAGTATACTGAATGAGACTTCTACCTACTCCAGTAATGTTTTGAGTGCACTAATTTCAAGTTATTCCTATTGTATATCGATATGTAAAGTGATAGTTGATCAAGATGATTTGGATTTATTTTGTACTTTGTTAAGGCATGACTCTCAAGATATTTCAAAAGCAGCTCGAATAGGATTTGGTCGTATTCTCAAAGATACGTCCTTTTTACTCGAAATGCTGGGTCTTGATTATATAGAGTGTTATCATGCACTAATCGGATCGACTGCATACATATATCTTTACGATATTCAACAAAATAGTGAAAATGCTATCGCAAAGTTTATTGAAGAGCATCCTACTTTTTTGGCAATCTTTATGGTTGAATTATATGATAACATTCGTAAATTTCCTACTAAGATATTGTCTAGTGCAGACACTGATTACAATTTAGCTTACGGATATCCTGCATATGTAAAAATTGCTAGTTTAATTGCTATACGCATGCCGACAGAATTTTGTGCCTTTATCAAATATTGGTGTGATGGAGATAATTTGAAACGTGCATTGTTTTATACGAGTAAACAACATAATTTTTCACAACGTGCTGCTTGCTTAACCATTCTATCACTTTTGGGTGAGTTAACAGTCGATTTATGTGAGATGTTCATTGAAACTGTGCGTGATGATCCACATATTCAAAATAATTGTTATAAATGTATCACACACATTCATTCTATTAGAGATGAGAAAGTCATTTTAAATCTTTTATTATCTTATTTAAAATCAAAATCCATGAATGTTCGATATGTTACAGTTAAAATACTTCTTCATCTTTCTCAATCATCTCTTATCCCATCTAAACAAGTTCACACTATACTGAATGATCTTATGTTAGACCCAAGTTCAAATGAAGGTCTATGGTTAATTGAAGAGCAAGATGGTCTCTTGGCAAAATGTGAATATTATTATGCTGGTTCATTAAAAAATGTTATATATTCACTTCTGATTCAACATGTAACTGGACATAAAAGTGACATTCTTCGAAGAAATGAATTCAATGACATTGATTTGGATTTCATTGAGTCGAAAAAAGCATCCCGTCTCGCTTCATGTATTTATGAGGAAAAAAGCTGAATACAGTGTAGAATAAACAAAAATAAATGATTCGTTTCTTAAAATAATAATCTTATTCAAAATCTATTTTTCCTTTTACGTATACTTTTTTTTTTCGTTCTGTGAACAACCATATGAAAGTTCCTGAAGAAGAACACTTGTAAAATATAATCTAGATTTCTTGATTACTAATAATACACCATTTGTGACATCTGAACAATATCTTTTTTTTTTACTATTAGCAAAACATAGAGTCTAAGATTATTCCATTGGATAGTGACCAATATTCTCCTATCTATAGTTACTTAGAGTACTGAGATTTAACCTAACTAGTCCTCATTATCAATTATTTAGGAAACACATTAAGTTCGGATTGTATCACATTAACAGATGTCTTTGAAAACTTTGTCTTATTTCTCAATATACATCTGCTGAGTCTTGATTCTTCCCAGAATACGCAATCCCAAGTGTTTTCACACTACTTCTAGTGGTTAAATGTTTAATTTATCAAGTGACTCAAATAAGTGGTCGTGAACATACGATTTCGGTTCGTCATCGTTCTCTTTCGCTACGGTTAGACGCGTTTGTTGTTGCTGCTTCCTCACGCATATTGATTTCTTTTCTTTTTTCTTCTTCATTATTCCCTTTGCAAGAATCTAAGTCTAAGACTTTACGATTCTTGTGGGAATGTCTGCCACAAATAGGCAGTCCCATGATTTTATTGATCAACAGGAACAAGTGTAAAACTCTCGTGTGTATGTATTGATGAACAATATTTCATTTACTGTGAATAATGAAATATCACAAGAACAGCAATTAGTCTATTGTAATGCTCCATCGAATTACTCGACGAACAGCAATCGACAAGCATTCTTATACCAACACCAATTGACAAACAATCAAATGGTTCAACTATCGTCATTAGTTCGTTTTACACCACAGCATCAGCAACAACAGTCATCACCATCATCCACCAATATGCCTCCTTCTCTTTTACATCCGTCGATGGTACATTCCAACATGCATCAGCAACAAGCATTTGTATCAACATTCCAACTATTCGTTAATATCACAGCATCAATTCCATCACTAATGACTAATCCAACAGGCTCATCAACCCCAATATCAACACAGACAAAAAGAGGTCGCATAGATATCAGTGGTGCTTCAAAATTAAGCATAGAGTTACGATCTTAATATCCTCAGTTGACTCGTGTTTTTAACTCGAATAATACTCCAAACAAACGTAATCGTGGTATTAATCAACAACATAAGGAACATGATTATCCCGATCGATACACTCAAAGGCAACCAATTCAATTTAAACAAAATTATCCTACGACGACCGACACGATAAATTAAAACGACCAACAGCAACTGTTATCAGTAGCAGCATGTCGCTTCGCTACGTCTCGTTATTCATTCTTGCCTTTTTCAGGAATTTTCTCGCAAGAAGTACGTGACAAGATGGTTGTCGATGATCTTATTCAACACACGACGAGTAATTTCAATTTCGAATTGAAAACTGTTGCCTATCGTCGTGCATATGCCGAAAACAATGAGAACGGTATATTGATATTTGTTGAAAACAGTGAATCGTTTGTTTTCTTATACGATCGTAGTAACTGGCCTACAACATTAGCAGGGTGCAATTTTACAACGAAAATTCCGTCGATCCCACTACAACTCTCTTTAGTTCTGCCATCAGTCTCGTTTCAAATAGATTGGGACGAATTTGTTCAAGAGATTAAAAGTAAATATGTGGATATCTTTTATATAATTAGCTTAAAAAATAAAGCCCAGCAATCAATACGAGCAGTCGAACTTGAATTTAAATCAATTAAATCTCGAAATGAAGTATTAGAAGCAGGACAAATTTCAATCATGCATATGAAGCACAAAGTCATTCAATATTATTCCCAAGCTAATGTCTTAATATGTTCCAATTGTTTCGGAATTGGGCACTTCCGAAAGAGCTGCTCGCAGAAGGAAGAAGTTACATGTAAAGTATGCGGTGAAAAATGTTCAAATCTGAAAGATCATCATTGTTCACGCGTGTCAAAACGTATTCACTGTGGTGGACCGCATAATTCGAATGATGCAAAATTTCGTGTGGTGAAAGACTATCGAGCAGCTCTTACTCGTAATCTTCTTTCAAAAGTACCATCTGTCAACGTCAAATATACAAGCTATCAACCGTCGCGAGCCGATTTTCCTCAGTTGACTGCTGCACTTGGTCGTGCGCCCTATTCTACAGTCACTCGAATGATTCCTTTAAACTCAAATGATGTAATATCCAAGAAGCTGGATAGTATTTAAACAAAAGTTGAAGAAGAATCTGTAGCAACTCGTTTGACATTCGATTAATTAAAAAAAGAAATGACAACGCGCTATAAAGAAACGAAGCAACAAGTTGATGAGCTTGAGATAACGGTGGAAATGGAAACAAAATTTCAGGAACTAAGCAAACGAGTATTTACAATAATGCACAATATCTGTACGTCTCTATTAGATCCATAAGGTTCATAAAACGCTAGTTGGAAAATCTACTGGGAGGAACACATTAGAACATTGTCAGAGCTTAAATTGCCGTCGTCTAAATCTCCATAATGTCTGATCCTGTTGCCGATAATTATAAACTTGATATTAAAGCATATCGTTTTTTAGATTCTGCTCGAAATACTATCTCACGTAAAGACTACTTTATTCTAAAACAAATTTTGGCCGACTGGCATTCGTCTACTACATTCAACCAGCTGCATTCTAAATGGAAATCATATAGGAAACTATCTACTCAGTCACCCTCAACTTCATGCACATTCTATGTTTCAATGTACGTGATAATGATCTTCGTTGTGATGAAGTTTGCCTACTTGCTGCTGCACATCGATTCGACATCATGATATTAGGTGACGTAGGCCTATTTGACTCATCTCTTATAGGCGCTGCATTTTCTAACTACCAATAATTCTACCAGCCTGGAGAAAATACACATGGCGGCATTTTTTAGTTCTCGTTCGCATGGGTATTCCCACGTCTAGAGCAAGTTGTCTGTTACCGAACGTGTGCACTATGGATCTACATCTGGAAGTATCCATTAGAACTATTGCTGTATATGTTCCAGAAAGTAAATCATGGAAATGGTCAGATATGTCTGGCTTCATCACATCTCATTGCGTCATTATGGGCAATTTTAATGTAGATCTAGAAAAAGATGGCGATAAGGCGGAGAGTTTACTCGAATGGATGAACAGTTATTCTCACGTTCCGACTATTCCAAATACTTATACATCACTTTGGCCAAGCAGAACTATAGATTATGCACTTTCATCAGGAGTTGACATAACAGTTCAAACATATAAAAGCGATACAACAAGTGGTCATAAGCCTCTCCTGTGTGTGCTGGCATGTGAAGGAAAAGAAAACAAGAAAGATTGCAAAACAATATGGTCTATCTTCTCTCTTTTTCTAACATATACATTTGATTTTTTGGAGAAACAATGAAGTTACGGCTACTATGATGAAACGTATGAACACTTTATTACGTTTTTATCTTTACTCACAGCTCGATGCACGTCGTACTTTCCACTCAAAAAAGCTCTACCCGCGGTACCATTAGAGCTTCGATTACTTCTGGCTCAAAGCCGTACTCTTTCTTTGAAGACACAACGAAAAGGCGATGTTGCTCTGCGTCGTGAGGCTCAACGTCTAAGAACTGTAGCTCGATATGAATTGAAACGAATCCAACAAGATCAGCTGTCAAACAACTGAAAGAACGTCACATACCAGATGAAGGTTCTACTTTATTTTTGAGTAAAATAAAAAGACATTTTAGAACCACCTCGTCGCCTTTAAAAACTTTATTACTACCTAATGGGGAATTAACGAAAGATCCTCAAACAATGGTGAACATGGCTGCTAACTACTATGAACATCTGTTTGCCACTCCAGAAATGATTCGACCGCATCCATACGTCGATGCTCCTGGAATGCAATCGGACAATGTTCATGGTTCGATTCCAAACGTAACGTACCCAGAAGTTCTGAAAGTGTTAGCGACGAGAAAGAAAAAAACTTCGTGCGACATTCATGGTCTCTCTCCATTTCTGCTGAAACAGATACCTCGACATTATTGGAATATGCTAGTACATCTCTTCAATTATTCTTTCACTACCCATTTTTTATCGAAGAAATTTAAAGAAGTACGAATGATCCTTCTAGCAAAGAAAGACGCCATTTGCCCGCCAGATCAAACAAGGCCTATTTCGCTTCTCGATTCTTTTCTGAAAATACAAGAAAGACTTTTCCTCAATCGTTTTCTTCAAGTTTTAAAAGACAGAGGTATTCTACCTGAAAATCAATCGGGTTTTCGGACAGGTCACCGCCTGCAGACGCGTGTGGTTCTTTTAATCGAACAAATATCCTCTTATATGTCCAATAGTGCGCCGGTGGCAACTGTCTTTGTCGATTTTAAATTCACGTTTGATCACCTATGGTTTGAATGTTGTCTCGGTAAGCTGATCCAAGTAGGCATTCCAGTAGCATATGTGAACTGGATACGAACGTGGTTAGAGGGGCGTCACGGTATAATACAGATACAAGGTAAAAGATCGAGGTGGTTCTCGATAAAACGTGGTGGCCCACAAGGTTCAAGCTTCATACTAACTCTTTTTATCACTTATCATAGCGATATGGCGAACTTTCTACCAATGACTATGTCATTCTTCTTCACAGATGATCTTGCTGCTGTCGTTACTGAACAAATAGGAATTAGATTCACAGATCAATGCATAGGCGTAGAGCGTCGACTGAATTCGATGCTGGAGAATTTAGAATTTTACTCGATACTGATGGTGCAACCCATTAACTACTCAAAAACCCAGACTATGTTCTCTGCTCCCGCCATCAACTATCTGAATCCGATGCCGGTACTACGATGTGGAAGCTACACTATCGAATGGATTTCATCGTTTAAGTATCTCGGCTACTGGTTAACAAGCAAGTTAGGATGGGGGAACGTGATAGGATGATCGCGTTTGAGAATGTGCCAACAGACAGGATTAGTCAACCCAATAAGGTTTAGTGGTACATCTTCAATAGCTCTACGACGTGTCTTGTTCTCTACTTTCGTGCTGCCTTTCTTTACGTGGCTATTCGCTCTCTATCTCCTGTTCACCAACTGCCAGCAGTCCGAAGTTAATCACTTTTACTACACATGTCTTAAATGAATTCTACGATGCAATTATTGGGATGATTTCTTTTTTGCGTCTGCTTTTTATGAACGTCCACAGGATGATTTATGCTATAATTATTGGGAAAAATACCTTAAGGCACTGAGTAATTCACTCGATGGACGTCTCTTAATAGAACAATCATTGTTAAATGCGCACAGAACTCGATGGCATGTAGGTGATTCAAGTATTCGATGTCTACCAAGATCAAAACGATTCGTACCTCATATAGACGTGTTTGCACTGGCTACAAGATGGATGATATCGCATGGTACAGGGAACTCAGTGGTATCACTTGATAGAAAAGAATATATATGTTTCGCAGAACTTCCTGAAAGCTTCTAGTATTTGGGGTTGTTTTTCTTTTTCTTTATACCCATCGTTCTCCTTTTTTTTTATTATCTTCTTTTTTTTATCTCCTTTGTTTTTTTATAGTGGTTAAATTACGAGGGAACATTCCCAAGTGTCACATCGCTTTTGAATCGAGAGTATGAGCATCATATAGGCCCTAATGATCTATGAATAACCTGAAAAAATGTCGTGCTGCTAGCTTATTGTTGTCGAGATATTGAATTTTTACGATGTATTTTTAGATGAATGCCGTGGTTCCCCCCCCCCCCCCCCCCCGGGACCCAAAAAAAAAAAAATTAGGAGATTGAAACGAGCAATCTCACCGCAACACGAGCTGGCTGCACAAGTC